AGTTCCAGGAAAGCCTGGGCTACACAGAAAAACCCTGTCTAGAAAAAACAAAAAAAAAAAAAAAAAAACTCCAATAAATAAATCAGAATAAAATGCTATGATTTTATCAAAATAACACATTTATAAAAAGCTGCAAGCTCTTTGCAGAAGCTGACTCTTCCTCCTGTCACAGTTCAAAGATCTATATACACATATTTATCTCTTGCTTGTTCAATTTTTTTCCAATATCATCATCATGTGCCACTTAATCTTGGACAGATGCGTAATGAAACTGACTGACAAACCTCTCAACTCTTAATGATCTCTTTTTCATAATTTGAAGTGTTAGTTTTTTGTATTGTTTTGGTTTTTTGAGACAAGGTTTCTCTGTGTAGCCCTGGCTGTCCTGGAACTAGCTCTGTAGACCAGGCTGGCCTCAGACTAAGATCCACTTGCATCTGCCTCCCAAGTGCTGGGATTAAAGGCCACCACTGCCCGGCAATTTTATTGTCTTTTAAGATTTGTTTTATTTTATGAGTATTGAGTGTTTGGTGCTTGCAGAGGAGAGAAGAAGGTGGCAAATCTTCTGAAAGTAGAGTTACAGAAGGTTGTAAGCCAGCGTGCAGGGGCTAGGAATTGAACCCAGGGCCTCTGCTCGAGCAGCAAGTGCTTATCACTCTCAAGCTGCCTCTCTAACACCCTGTTTTTGAGTCTTAAACAAGAAATTAATTGCTTGTGGAATTTCAGAGCCTCCAATCTTATCAATCCTTGTATGACCCTAACTACTTAATCATATTAAGGCTGAAAATTAACTCTATCCTCTGGGCAATATTAAACTGAGAAAGTTATCCTGTAAGTCCAACAACTGTGTCTTCCCTCTACCTCTCTCTCCCTTCACAAGGCTCCACCCCTTTAGTCAAGTTCATCTCAAGCACGAGCACACTCGTGCCTCTGGATCTTCAATCCACAAATAGCTTTTTAAAAATACACTCTTCCTTGATCTGCCATTCCTCCTAGGGTTATCTCAAGTACCATCCTAAAGCACTTACTCTGGCTCCAGCCAAAGACACAGACAGAAAGCAACATCAGAAAGAAAGATTTAAAAGTTAGTCACTGGTGTGAGGCAAATTCATCACATGGCCATCTGGATCTGCTGAGCCTGCTAAGCCTGTTTTCTCACCTGAAAGTGATAAAACACCTCACAGTACAACAGGAAACCTGGGCTGTTAAATGAACCTGGAAACTGCCAAGCATAGTGAGCAGCAGATACAGGACTCAGGGTGTTTGCACAATTTTTTCCTCCACAAGGTCTTATTTGACCACTTAAGTTCTGTCATCATTCTATCCTAATGAACAAATAAATCAGATCTATCTTGAAAGAAAGTAAGTAGTCAACCTCTCCAGACTTTCAGTGCACTGACACTGTTCAATGTGATATCCTGAGAGTTTGTTCCATTTTTTGGTGCTTGCCTACCTGTAGATTTAAATATATTTCAAAAATGCAAGGAAGAAGATGCTCCTGTGAAAATCTTGCAGAGAAATGCACAAGAAAGGCTCAATTCTTACCTTGTGAGTTATCCATTCCCGTCCATACTGATACACATTGTTTGCTGCAGAATTAAGAGCTCTTTGGACCACCTGAGCCTCAGGAAGCCAACTGACATAAAAGAGAAAAAAAGAAAATGGAAAGAGTTCATTTTCAGTTTGGACAAAACAATGCTTTGACCTAAAGCTATCAATAATAAATTATTGATGAATCACTAATACAGAGAACATACAATGCCAGGCCTAAGATCCTGACCTTGACGCGTAAGATTTGTATTCTAGCTCTCCCTGAGTTTGAGACCTACCTACCCCCCCCAGCCTCTTTTTCATTCTGTTCTATCTGGTTTCTCTGGTCACACATGTCCTATCTCATATGTCCTAGTCAGCAGAGAGGACATGATTCTGGAGCACTGAGATACTTAATATCTAACAATATTCTCAAAGTATGGGTCATGGACAACCAACACCCAACCTTCCTGGGAGCCTGTTAGAGATGAAAATACTTGAGCCCAGCTCCAGACCTACTGAAAGAGAAATGTACACCCTAGGAGACCCTGCAGATGTCTGAGATCCACAGACCTATGGAAATGCAGAACCAAAGAATCCAGGAATTAAAAGGATGATCCAATTATTTTCCATCTTCCATCCACCCGTCTCTTCATGTAGAGTCTCTTCACAAAGGCCCAGCCATACTAAAAACTGCAGTTTTCAAGTTTCATTTGTTCTACAATAAGAGGCCTCCTCTACACCTCAACCAAGAAGCTTTACATAAACTTAATGCTTTCCAAAACCCAGAAATACTTTGTATATTCCCCAGACTGTCCATTAGTGTTATATACCTATAGGCATACTGTTATTATGCCCTGTGTAGAGATTATCCTTGTATTATTCAGATGCCAATTTGTGTGTGCCCATATCAGGTTGCAGTAATTATTTGAGACTCTCCTCTATTCATGTTGTGTAAACATTGCTCCTCAATTATTCCCTGATTGGTCAGTAAAGCTAGCTGATCAGCCAATGACTGAGCAGCAGAAAGAATAGGGCTGGACTTCCTCACAGTATGGGGAATGGGAGAATGGGGGAGTGGGAGGGTGGGGGGAACAGAGAAGAGTGGAGGAGGAGAGGAACAGAGAGAAAGGGAGAGAAAGACCAGACCGGGTGGGGGAGATAAACCATGGGAAAAGAAACAAGGAGACATCAAGAGAAAACAGCTTGAGGAGAGAAAGCCATAAAATTCAAGTTGGGTAGGAGATAGCCAAATTAGCTTAGAGGATTAAAATAGAGTAATACTATTCAGTTGTTGTGCCTTTATAGCTTTATATATAAATATAATACTCCAGTCTTAATTTTTTGGGAGCTAGCTGGGTTACAAAAATGTGTTATGGGAAATATTAAAAAAGCCAGCACCATCCCATGCTATTCCCAGCTACTCTTGCCCCGGCAGTCTCGGATAGTGCCGTGGTCTTCCCAGCTCTGGTTTGCTTGCCTCAGAGCAGTAGTTCCTAGTCATCTACCCCTTGTGGCTAGTTGTCACAAATCCCTTTATCCCAGTAAATCAAAACTCTAAAAACTTTTATAATTAATCAGTCAGACTTATATATCAATAAATTCTCAATTCACAAGATGTCCACAAAATAATTTGAGCCAAGAGGTAAGAATATAAACTGCCCACCTAAATAAGGCAAATTGTCTGGTAATTATCCATCCCTTATATTCATAGCTACCTACGGCTATTTAAAGCCATGTGGAATCTGGATGGTCCTGTTCTTCCTCCATTTCCTTCCTTCCTCTCTGTCTGTCTCTGAAACTCTTAACTCTGCCTCCCTTTTCCCTGTCCAATCACAGGCTTTTTGTTGTACTGATTGGACAGGGAAAATTCTGCTACAAAAATGTCATTAACATACTAGATACTACAACTCAAAAATTAAGTAGTTCTGGCTTCAATTATCCATCTAATGCTGAAAGGCCAAGGCAACAATACTTCAGTTTTTATTTTTCTGAGGCTCAAATATGATACATGTTACAAAGCTGGCCCATGAAATGGCACATGAACACTATTAAAAGCCTCAATTCCTAGCAGCCTCACAGGTTATGTACATATAAGACAATCATATCAAGAAAGCTGATTGCTGTCAATAGCCACAAAAGTTAAGATGCCTGGAAAAATATTCTTTCATAAGGAGAAAAATATGTCAATAAATTACAAGATATCGAGACATGCCTGTATTCTCAGTACTTGGAAGTGTGAGGCAAGAGTGAGTGTTAGGTCAGTCTGACCTTCACAGCAGCATCAGAAACTGTCTCTAATCTTAAGTACTTCCTCACCACAGTATTCTAGTTTATCAAAGCTTTGGCAAACCACATTCTTCTCTTCTAATGTAGCTGTATCGATGAATACTGGTCCATACAAACAAATGCTGAAACTAGGTCACCCATGTGTATCCTTTTCCAAAACAGTATTCTTACTTGGCCCACTCTGGGTGATTTGCTAGAGTTTCATTAATCAGACTACTTGTGACTTCAATCATGTGTACACTCTCTTGATGTACCTATAATATAAAAAGAAAAAGAAGTAAGTAACGTAATTCAAAATGTCTTTTTCTACTACTTTTATAGGATCAAATAGTCATTTTTTTTGTTTGTGTCTAGTTGTTTTAAAGATAAGCTCTGGCTATGTAGCTCTGGCTGGGTGACTGGTGTGGCCCACTACATTATTTTAACTTTCCTTACAGAACACATCTGCCATCAATTAATTCTGTCTGTTGTCATTTATCTGAGATGGTTTTATTTTGCCTTTACTTTTTGAAGGGAAGAGAATCAAGTGGAAACTGAAGCCAGTGTCTTAAGCAACACTCTCATACTTCCAGCTCTTTAGTTTTTATGTTTAAGGAACAGAACCATTAAACACCAAATTCTTGGTTGTCTTTCATTTCATCCCTTTGTCTTTTCATATGATGGCTCAGTAAGAAAACTCTCCCTGTTTTCTTCCCTTGGTGCTGTGGTTACCTCCTTCAAGAGCTCCTCTTTATGTCTGTCTTTCAGTAGCTTCCCTGGAGTGTCCTGCAGGATAGGTGTGTCTGTTCATTCTGGCGTTTGCTGAAATCTTTGGACTATCCTCAGACTTTCCTTGCCTTCCCCTTCTCAGCTCTTGGCATGCCAACTGCATGCTACTAGAAGGTTGGCATGCATCTCTGAGGCTCTGGTCACCTCCAACTAGACTTCACCATTATTTTACAACCATAACACCATTAACTTTTTCTGGAAAGATGTGAACAAACACTTAAATACTCCACACTGACAAAGACAGAAGAAATGATTCTGCTCAAGTCTAGCTTAGTGAATCGGCAAGTTTAACAGGAATTACTCAGACATGAGGGTACAGGGTTACTACAAGAGCAGGGCCAAATGTAAAGGCAACTGTAGCACCCACATGAAAGTCACATCCCTGCCTCAGCCATGAACTTCTTCTATATTCTCAGGAAGAGCTCCGAGTGCCTCTGAAGAGCTGCCTTGTTAGCCTGATACACTGATTTCAGAACAGAAATGGCCACACCACGCCTGAAGGATGGCATTCTACAACAGACATCAACCACACAGGCCACACAGACAAAAGAGACTGCACCAAACATGCAGACAACAATTCCTTCAGAAGAAGCTGCAGAGTTTTGCTGCAGAATAACTCAGAAGCAAACATGACTCTAGGAATTATCTAGCTGATCATTTTCCAATGACTGTAAGTGGCAGCGGTAAGAACTTGATAGTTCTATTCTTGTTTTCTGTGCAAAGGAAATTACATGTCAACCTCAGCCTGCTTGCTGTTGTCCCAAAGGACTTTCTGAGGAATGTGTGACAAAAGTATATTCAAGGCTGATGCCGAAGCTCTTCACTTCGAGAACAGTGGAGCTGTCACTTACTGGAACAGGACTATGAGAAGAACAGCTTCTGATGTTACATTTGAGGTACCTATTAGACACTCTGAGTGGATACTGTCTTGGTATTCCAGAAAACAACACCTTTACTGGAAAAAAACAGATACCCAATAGGGCTCCCTCAAAAGTTCAGTGCATTTAAATCCGACAGGGAAAGAAATGGTTCAATACTCACAAACTACTAGAGTGAGGGAAGCAAAACTCACTGCAGCACAGAACAAAGAGCCTGACAGGTGAGCACAACTGAGGCAGGCAGGCAGAAGGCCTGTGCAAAGAAACAGAACAACAAAAGGACAAAGAAGGGAAAGAGTCAACAAACAAAAGTACCAAGAAGTTCTGTGTAACAGCCACCTCAGGTCAAACATGGTAAAAACACACGGAGGGCTCATGTCTGTGCACTTCCATGAAGTGACTGTACATGATCACTACCTAAAGAACAGACAGAACAGCAATGAGACAAATAGACAGAAGTGCTAATGGAGTCAGCTGCAGGGGAGAAAGCAAATAAACTTTAAGGAGCCTGACTGAAGAAGAATAGAACTTCCGAGTGGTGACACCCCATGATAAGCACAGCGATACTTTGATCTGTTGCAACTTGATCTAGCAACTGTTGCCCTTGATCATCTACTGGTGACAATTACTAATAAATTGTTGCAAAACTGTTAGAGAAGTTTTGATAGCCATGATTTCATGTAAGCTTCACCATCCTCTGAAAACAGAACATCAAAATCTGGAAGTAAGGTCAAACAGGGTTTGATAAATAAGGATAAGAATGCACTGAAAGTGTAGAAGACTACCCTCAGCAAAGCCATTAGTGCAAAGATAAAGTACAGCTGTGCTTCTTGATGACATAAAAATAGGAAACAAAACTGCAGCTGAATCTGAAAAGCAAGAAATAAAGACCTTACATGAGCTGCCGTGTGTGTCTAGTGAGACCTCCCTCTCATTGTGAGGGAAGGTTAGTGGTCACAGCTTTCTGAAAGTCTCCTTTGGGTCCTGATATAGGGACAGCAATGGCCATACCATGCCCAGAGGATAGCACTTCAAAACAGACACCAAAAGCACAGCAACAAGGACAAAAACAGGTCCATGGGACTGCATCAGACTTAAACACTCCACAGGAAGACCAGTGGCAGGAAGGAAGGAGCTAATACAGAAACTGTGAAGGTCAGTGCAAAGGTGCACCTGTTCCTAAAGGTGCTCTGCAGACTGGGGCAGGAAGCCACCTGAACCCAGGAGCTTGAGACCAGTGCCTGCAGTGCCACCAGAAGACATCAAGACCAGAACCCCAAGAGAAAAGAAAGAAGGACACACTGCACTAACTAGACTAGGAGTCGTGAGATTAGTTCAGAAACCTCTTAAGTCTATGGCTGGGGATAGGGATTATTTTCAGGATCTTTTTTTTTTAAAAAAAGAAAACAAAAAAAACCCTGCACTTTCTGCTTAAGACTTGAGGGCAAAATAAATGTATACAAATGAGATTTAAAAAGAAAACATTCTAGGCAGACTCACAGAAAAATTACTAATGTACAAAATGGAAATACTTCAGTGGGCAGAAGTTCTTCTGATAAGCCAAATGATATTTCGCATTTGCTTCTGCTGTCTTCTTCTGCATATGCAACCTTAGCAACAAGGACTTTGTTATAACAAGAATACTGGTTAATGTACTTTACCTTTGCAGTCAGGAGAAGAGCCAAAAGAAGGGTTCCTATTACTAGCAAGAATATGATGAAAATGCTAATAATTTTATCTAACATCTTCTCCAACCAGATGATCATCTGCATGGAAATAAAAAAGGAGAGTTACTTATCTTCAAAGAATCATTCACTAAAATCATGTAAGTACTCAAATATCACAAATACAGGATACGGAGCATTGCAAGGCAAACTATAGCATACTGATTAAAGCAATAAGAGCTTTAAGCAACTTTAGAAAGTTAAGTATTAATTGCTGCTGTTATATGTAGAATTTGTTATTGTCAAGGCTGTGAGAAGAGTCAACCAGAACACAATCCACGTGTACTTCTGAATTCTCACTATGCTACATTCACATTTCAATCTCTAATTCAGGAGGCCTGATAAATACATTTCAAACAAAATTATGACACTCCATCAGCTGAACTTGTTTCATGAAGCTGTCATATCAGTTAGCCAACATAGATGGCTTGAGAGAATGTGTATGTACTACGTAACACTCATCTCCTAAATTATACAGAAAACAGGAGCACAGACAGCAATTATATTCCAACTGCATTCTCCTTTCATTCCCTTAGGGTCATAAAGACAGTAATTGTCAATGTATGTAATGTTAAGGCAGTAATAATAGAAAATTCAGAGTAACACCTCCCAGGTACCAGACCTTGGGAGGTGGATGTGGTTCTACTGAGGTGGACAGCAGGCAGGTGAGTAGTTTTTTGTGTTTTTTACTTGTTTTGGTTTTAAAGTGAACATGTGTTTCAGGCTTTTACATTTTAAAAAAGCTAAGTATATGTGTTTATTTACTTGGGGTACACACAAGTGTGAATATGGGAATCAAGGGTAGGTTCTCTCCTTTCATCATGTGGCTTTCACAAATTCAAGTCACTACACTTGGCCAAAGGCCCCCTTACCTGCTAAGCAATTATTACCAGCCCCACAGCTTTTAGATTTTAGATATTTCACAATAAAATGCTTTTAAAAGTCCTGTTATTCCACTAGAAGCTTCTATTCTATTGAAAACATAAGATTTGTGACATGATTCTAACTCAATGAAGTATATTAATCCTCAACATAGTAGCTGTTATTTAATAATTAGATTTAAGCTTTCCTTAAAATGTTATTTGATCTTCTATCTTTACTGAAACATCTCTCATTTTTTTTACAACTCCAATAATCCTACATCTTAAAAAATACATTTTGGTTTTGGAATATGTAACAATGATAATTTCTACACTTCCTGCCATGCAAAGCTACCATTTAAAATTCAAAATTAGATTTAATTAGATCAATAATGCTAATGTGCCATACTGTGCCCATCGACCCAAGCATAGGCTGCAATACTGCTAAACTGTTCCTAATTTAAATTAACACCATGCTCACTATACAGTGAGTCAAACTGCTAAAAGCAACAATTTTTTTTAAAAAAACAGCGCAACTTTTATAATATTTATATATTCAAAGGCTGAATTCTTTGTGTCTTCCATGAAGCACACTGCCCTTCACATAGCACCAATGAGCTCAGACTCAAAGTTAATCTATGATGTTGACACTCAAGAGCTTCAAATGGAAGAGTTAAGCTTCAATGCATGCTACCAAAGCATCAGAGACAATGCAGATAAAAAAAACAAACAAACAAACAAAAGAAACAAACAACAGGTTTCTAAGATATGGAAGGTCAGGTGTCTTACTCTGAAGATAAGTTCTAAAATCAATGAACTGAGTTTTGCATCAGGAAGCAGCTGGGCCCTAGAGTTCCTGGGGTAGCTCCGCGAGGAAAGGGCTACCTCACTCCTCTCCAAAGCTCTGTAACCCAGGAGTATGGGTGGTATAATAAACACTAAGCTCATTTCAGAGTTTCAATCAGTTTTGTTTCCATGAATAACGGTTTGTAAAAGTATTGAAAAGAGCATGGTTTTAAATGAAAATAATCTTCTGAGAAAGCACGGAGCCCTGACCTCCTATTAGGCGGCATTAACATACAAACCATGGGATTCCACATATAACCCCCACCAGTTTCAAACTCAGACTCCATAGCTTTAAGATTAAGCTTAAGACTTTGGAGACTCTTGTTCTTTCCAACCTGCTGTAAAGTGAAGGGTGAGCTCTTGCAGAGGACCCAGGTCCAGTCCCAGCACCCACATGGTAGCTCCATAGTCTTTAACCAGTTCCAGACAATCCAATGCTCTCTTCTGGCAGCATCAGGCATACATGTACATAGTGCACATATATACATAATACATACATAAATACATACATATGTAATGCATGCAAAAGATTCATACACACTTAAACAACACACCAGTATAGTTGAATGAAGGAAAAGCAGCAACTGGTGAGTATGTGAGTGAACAAGAACAAGACAG